ATTATTCCATTTCCTTGAACGATTTCCCTCACCATCTTTACAAATCACTGTCACAGTTCTCTATCACTATTGTTTCTTCACTTGATCACTTGTCTCTGGTTTTTTTCCGCATCCTCCTCCTCCTCCTTTAGTCAGCCATTTTGTTTTAGACGTCCAATTTGACTTCTTGAAAACCTCCCTTATCCATTTTCTACCTTTCATAGATTTGAACTAATACACACTTGCTCATTTTTCATTCTACATTTTACAACGAAATGTTTCTGAAAAAAGTTTATTATTTTATGGATTATGGAGGCAGCATAGCACCCCGCCCCCCCCCCCCGCGTCCCTTCGCCCTAACCACAGGTTTTGAAAGTTCTTATTTACATGCTTATCTATAAATCTCAATTTTCCTTGATGTTTATAAAGTTATATACCTTTTTGATATAATATCTTTTCTTTTAAATTCTTTTTTTATTTTTCTTTACATTTCATCAAAAAATAATTTAAAAAATTGTGCTTTTTATGAATAGTTAAAATAAGACATTTTTTATTTTCAATGAAAAAAGAATTAAAAAATAAAATAAAAAAATAGTAACAATAATAAAAAAGAAGTTGTCTTTTTAGTTAATTGTAAAGTTGACATTAAGAATTTTCATCAGAATTTATCAAATTAAATATTTTACTAAAAAGTATAACAGTTACCATAAAGAATTGATGAAATCTAAATTTTTATCAGATTTCATCAATTTAAAAAAGTGTTTACAAAATAATTAACTTGATTTTCATGTTAAAATAAGGCCAAATAAAGATTTAATTTGCATCAAGAATTAATGATACAATTTTACAAAACTACATAGAAAAAAAAATTAAAATAAAATAAAATATTGACTTGATTTGATAACTTAAAGGGACTGTAAGCGTAATGTTTAAGTGACCCTCCATCTAAAGATTGCAATGTCTGATTCACAACAGTACCCTGTAAAACCACAACAGTACCCTGTAAAACCACAACAGTACCCTGTAAAACCACAACAGTACCCTGTAAAACCACAACAGTACCCTGTAAAACCACAACAGTACCCTGTAAAACGTTGTCTGATCATTTATGAATTAGATATCAATGTTTATAATTTTTAAAACGGATAATTTTCAACTGTGGTTTCTCTGCCAAAATTATTTGCGCATTTCTCCTGCAGGAAATTATGTAGAAATTATTTAATTAAACACTTTTAAGCCTAGAAAAACGACAACATCTTCCACATTGTTGATCAGATATAGATTTCAAGGGTAATGTTGTGAATCAGGCATTATCATCTTTGTCTGGAGGGTCAGTTGACATTGTACGCTTACAATCCCTTTAAGAAATAAATATCTATTAGAACATAAATATAAAGAAAGCAGAAACTTTAAACATTTATCTTTGTTTCCTTGTTACTAGGCCCGGCTAATGTTTTCAAGATAATACAATTATTCCGGAATCAAAGGTGAAAACTTTTGGTTAAAATAGCGCTGAGCAAAGAGCAAAGAACTTTAGTTTCGGGAATTTACGTCTTAAACTTAAAGTTTTAACCTCGCTTTTTGAATACATCCAATGTCCAAAATGTAGATGGAATATTCGCTCTATGTTGATATTATCGAATACAAACTTAGGTAAATTAGATTTTCAATTGCCTAATATTATCAAAACTGAATTTTATAATCAGGTTTCGCTGATATCATTTTTTCATTCTCGGGAAGACAGTCTCATAATCTTTTATTTTGATTTTTAAATTCTTTAGGTTTATTTTTATCCATTATTTTTATTTTTATTTTGGAATGGTCGGCTTAGTTTAATTTACAAAATAATTTTTATATTGAAAAAAAGGCTTGATTCACAATTAGTAATGCTTTAACCATGCACTCGTCTTAAAAGAAATGACTAAGATATCTTTGTTAATCTTTCAGAAAATTTATAATTACGAATTCGGGTTTATTTACAAGCCTCACTTGCAAAATGCAGCAGAGAAAAAAGGAATTACAAAATAAATCATTGAAAACAAAAATTATCTTTTGAAGACTAAATTAACTTCTGAATTATTTCTAGAATCTAAGTTTCCACATTTTATCTGTTAAATTAGAGAATATGGATGATTTATTTTTAAGCATTTCTAGTTAAACCTATATAATAAGAACAAACGATAGTAATATTTTGATTTCTAAATGTTGTAATGATTTTTAGATTATAAAAGAACAGTTTGTTTTTATTTCATATTTTGTTTATATTTTACCTTATCAAAAAATCTTGTTTTGTTTTACAAAGTAAAAATATCTATTTTTGAGCGTTTGTTCTACTTACTTTTTGAACTTGTTCCTCCATTGCACCCAATTTTTCTTTTTAATGAAACAACTCAAAAATTCTGACATCTGATGTGACTTGTAGGAATAGTTTTTTTTAAAAATACTATTGTCTATTTAATTTAGAAAATTAAATTCTTATTTGTCAAATTCTACAATTTTTGTTTGCTATATATTTTGATTAGAATACAAAAAACTATTTCCATGTATGCAGCATATGCACCATAAATATCCATGCTTTGTGAATATTATATGAATAACATGGTTGTATAAATCGATGAAAATATATTGTCTTTTGAATATTAAATTAACTGAACCAAACTATTCCATGAATTGTATTTATATATGAAGAACAAGCAAAGGATATTATACATTACTCCCACTAATAATCCATCTGAAGGATATTATACATTACTCCCACTAATGATACATCTAAAGGATATTATACATTACTCCCACCAAATATCCATCTGAAGGATATTATACATTACTCCCACTAATAATCCATCTAAAGGATATTATACCCACCAAATATCCATCTGAAGGATATTATACATTACTCCCACTAATAATCCATCTAAAGGATATTATACATTACTCCCACTAATAATCCATCTAAAGGATATTATACATTACTCCCACTAATAATATATCTAAAAGATATTATACATTACTCCCACCAATAATCCATCTAAAGGATATTATACATTACTCCTACCAATAATACATCTAAAGGATATTATACATTACTCCCACTAATAATCCATCTAAAGGATATTCTACATTAATCCCACTAATAATACATCTAAAGGATATTATACATTACTCCCACCAATAATCCATCTAAAGGATATTATACATTACTCCCACTAATAATCCATCTAAAGGATATTCTACATTAATCCCACCAATAATCTATCCAAAGGATATCATACATTAATCCCACCAATAATCCATCTAAAGGATATTATACATTACCTCCACCAATAATCCATCCAAAGGATATCATATATTAATCCCACCAATAATCCATCTAAAGGATATTTGTTGTCGAAGTCTTTCGAAAAGACACACGACACCCACATTTATTATTTAATTTTAATTTTTTAAATCAATGCATAAATGAACGAACACTTATGTCTACATTTCCCCCCCCCCTCTTCTTCTATCTCGTTTTAAATTACTAAAAATAATGAAGATTTCTCTCCTGACTCTGGGCAAATAATTATTCTTCGCATAGTTTTCCTTTAGAAAAGGAACTGAATAAAAACCTCCCTTTCCAGTCTTCAGTTCATTATCTTTCCTTTCATCTATCTATCTATCTATCTATCTATATATCCATCTATCTATCTATCTATCTATTTATCTATCTATTTATCTTTCTTTCTATCTATCTATTTCTATTTCTATATATCTTTCTATTTATCTACCTATCTATCTATCTATCTATCTATCTATCTATCTATCTATCTATCTATCTATCTAACCCCTCTCCACTCACAACTTTTAAAACCTAAAAGTTAAACCTATTTAGATATTAAATTTTAATTTAAAATCGGACTTTTTTTAAACTTTAGGATAAATATTGAATTTATTAACTATTGAGCCAAATATATCTATTTATTTTTAAAAATATATTGTATACTGGCTGAAATGCCCGGCGTAGCCCGTGGAATTTAAGGAACAAAATTTGAATTTTGAGTGGAACAAATTCGAATTTTGGAGAAAAAAATAGATTCTTTTTAGCCCCACCGTGGCACGCAAGGGTTCCCTTGCCAAATTTCAGCCAATTTGGTTCAGCTGTTTGGGCTTGGCTGGCTATATTTTGCTGTGTAGAATAACATTTTTATGAGAATATAAACAAATTCAAATTCATATTTGATCAAATATCAAGTTGGTTTCTCATTTCCTTTCCCAGCTAGAAAACAAAATGATCTGAGGATTGAAAGAGGAAATATAAAGAAAGGGACTGCACGTGAAATTTCAAGGGTTTAAGTCCCTTTCATGGAGGGTCACTTAAAATTAAAAAATTACGCCTACAGTCATAATTATTTTGTAATAAAAGGTTCACGTCAGCAAATCCTTGTTAGAGAAGAATTTGTTTAATATTTGATTATAATTATTGGGCACAGAGACAGAATTTGAGTCGCGGCTCATAATGGTTGGTTCCACTTAAATTTTTTTCAAGATTTAAGCCAGTGCTCAATTAAGACCGGTTTTTGGCGGATTTGAGACCCAGCTCAAATTCATTTAATTCGGACTCTGATCTTTACAGAGACTGTATACGTGGATTAAAGTGATTTCCCTTGTAGAGTGGTATGTCTGATTAAAAACGGGATCCTTACCAGCTTAGACTAATCAGGAAGGAATGAAGAAGATATCCATTAACTTCTCTTTAAAAATTGATAAATGGATTATTTTCAATAGAAGTTATTCTACAATGAAGGAAATTGTAAAGACGAATTTTTAAGGAAAAAAACAAGATGTCTTACCAGGAAAATAGTTATTAGATAAAGGATTAACGAATATCGTATTGAAAAAGACATAAATTATAAATTTACTACTGCACACAGTCCCTTTAAATATTTTATATTTGCAACTACTGAACGGTATTTATCTCCTGTAAGGTATTTATCTCCTGTAAGGTATTTAGCTCCTGTATAGTATTTATCTCCTGTATGGTATTAATATCCTGTAAGGTATTTATCTCCTGTATAGTATTTATCTCCTGTATAGTATTTATCTCTTGTGTAGTATTTATTTCCTGTATGGTATTTATCTCCTGTATGGTATTTATCTCCTGTATGGTATTTATCTCCTGTATGGTATTTATCTCCTGTATGGTATTTATCTCCTGTATGGTATTTATCTCCTGTATGGTATTTATCTCCTGTATGGTATTTATCTCCTGTATGGTATTTATCTCCTGTATGGTATTTATCTCCTGTATGGTATTTATCTCCTGTATGGTATTTATCTCCTGTATGGTATTTATCTCCTGTATGGTATTTATCTCCTGTATGGTATTTATCTCCTGTATGGTATTTATCTCCTGTATGGTATTTATCTCCTGTATGGTATTTATCTCCTGTATGGTATTTATCTCCTGTATGGTATTTATCTCCTGTATGGTATTTATCTCCTGTATGGTATTTATCTCCTGTATGGTATTTATCTCCTGTATGGTATTTATCTCCTGTATGGTATTTATCTCCTGTATGGTATTTATCTCCTGTATGGTATTTATCTCCTGTATGGTATTTATCTCCTGTATGGTATTTATCTCCTGTATGGTATTTATCTCCTGTATGGTATTTATCTCCTGTATGGTATTTATCTCCTGTATGGTATTTATCTCCTGTATGGTATTTATCTCCTGTATGGTATTTATCTCCTGTATGGTATTTATCTCCTGTATGGTATTTATCTCCTGTATGGTATTTATCTCCTGTATGGTATTTATCTCCTGTATGGTATTTATCTCCTGTATGGTATATATCTCCTGTATAGTATTTATCTCCTGTAAGGTATTTATCTCCTTTATGGTATTAAAAGATTCTTCGCGTAGAACATTATTGAAAATGTTTGAGCCGATCTTGTTCATAAAAATGATGATAAAAAAATTAGCAAGTCCTGAAGGAAATAGTATACATAAGGCCAGACATATCTTGTAGAGTTCTGGAGGGCAAAGCCATTTAGATCAAATTTTCATGGTTAGAAAAGCTTTAGTTTTCGACTTCCGTCAAACTGATGAAATTTGTTCCAAATTTAATTCAAAATACAGTATGGCTAATGCTATTTTACCCCCCACCTGGTGTAATAAGTATGTTTAGAAGCGAAGGAATATCATCCAATCCAATATTCTCTCCTTTATATCTATACTTGAGAGGAACTGTTCACAACACGTAAAATCTTAAATTAAACATAAAGTGAGTAATATGGAAACATTTTCGGTGCAGCCTAATTATGTTAGATTAAAATGTGTGCAACCCCTATCCCCCCATCATGCACTGTGGGGTCATGTGGGTCATTGAGTTTACACCATAAACCTCTTATTCAAATCAAATATTAGGACTCGGTCGCATTAGCAATATTTTTTATATGAATGTCTATAAGTTGTTGCGTTGATTTTCTAAAAACCGACGGAAAACTGCAGTTATTTCCGCGAAAACTCTTAAAATGGGTATTTTATACAAGAATTAGAGACAATACCAATACAGTGGCGGGTGTGCCCCAATCTTGAATAAATGGTTGTCAGACTTTATAAAGGTTTTTTTGCAATCCGCCTTATCTCTTTATGCTACCTATTTCACTATGACCTTTCAAATGTACGCAATATTGAGAAGTTATCTATTCAAAGATAAATGTATGAATGGGAAAAGTAATAATAAATTGAAATCATTATAAATCAATGCTAGGCCACACAAAGTTTGTAAATGAAAAGATTATCAGAATATATTAATTTTATTCATTCTCATCATGAAACACAAGGAAAATGCATTTTAAGATGATTATTGTGATTATTGTCACCCCTCCCACTTTAATCATTCACCACTTTCTCTGAAGCCCTCTACCTCTCCCCCATCCTAAATGTAATCCTATCCTGTCCAAATAGTTATTCTTCGTCTTGATAAATTCAATCTAGATCTGTTCCAGGGTTAAATCTTTTTAAATCTTTTTAAAACTTTTCAGAATTATAGAATACAATTTCGTAGAAAAATCCTCCCACTTTCCGCTAAAACCAACAATCTCTTGTTTAAGCGTGTACCGTACTGCAATTTACTGCAATTTACTGCAATGCACACCGAAAGCTTGAGGAACTGTCCAAGATGTTTGTGCGCTGCAGTTCTAAGCATTCATTTATAAATCTATTTTTTCATGCTTATGGTTGTAATGCTACGCCGGTCTGAGCAGTATTATTATTAGTATTATTATGCAAATCGTTGTATTAGCCAAGACAGGTTGAGCGGACAGAATTGCTCGTGTACATTTCGTACTTAAAGTTATACGGAGAGACTGGCAGGGTTGTGACATGGTTCTATGAAACAATAATCACAAAACAAAAAATGGGGGATAATTCATCTTTCTATAGGAAAGTTACAATACACGTATACTGGAGGAAGTACACCATTCAATTTTCTTACAAAAAGAATGAAAAGTCAAGTTGGTCAGTTAAAAGTAAATAATTATGAGATGTTACATACTTTCCCAAAGTATTTCCCAAGCTGTAACTTCCCCCTTGTTATTTTCCCAAGTGGTAACTTCCAAAATGGGCAACTTTCCAAATCTGATGTAGCCGCATCCCTCGTCCCCCTTGCCTGTTCTAGCAGAGGGGCTTGGCACCTTCCGGGCCCTAACCTGTAGAAGACGCAGCGCTCGCCCCCATTGCAGCCTGCAGCGCCCCAAAAAGCCGAATCTAAAATGTACATTTGGGAAGTTGCCCGTGGGAAAGTACCAAACACTTTTTCCCACTTAAGTTCCGTATTTAGTCAAATAATAGTTGTTTTAATTTCAGGCCCTTTTTCTAAATATTCTAGTAGACAATTATCAAATCTTTAGCAGCATTTTAAGATTAAAAGAAAAAATTTCACTTTTTCATGTTCTAACTTTATCAATTTTTTATATATATATTCAAATGTCTCCAATTTTGATAAACTAAATATATCAAAATTTGAAATGTCAAATTTAAATTTGAATTTGATATTGCGTCGAAAATAAATCTGAATATTCTTAAGATTGCAGATTCGGATCTTGATTTTTTATTCCATTTAAAGGGAATGTAAGCGTAACTTCTTGTGACACTCTTGCAAACATTGCCATACCCGATTCACAACGGTACCTTACAACGCTTTGTTTGATTAAGTATTGATTAGATATTAACGTTTATCATTGTAAAAACTAATTATTTACAATTGTGATTTCTCATCAAAAGTAACTCGCGAATTCTACTGCAGGAATCATCAGCATTTGACACTTTTAAACCTAGAAAAACGACGATTTCTTCTTGATCGGATAACGGTTTCAATTATACTGTAGTGAATCGGGCATTACCATCTTTGCATGGTTGATCACTTTTAATTTATTCTCCCTTTAAAAATATAATAACAACTTGTTCAATAAAATTAACATTCATATTCTTTTAAAAATGTTTTTTTAATATAAAGTCGTTAAAAATGAATATAATTTAATATCGAAAAGATTATATAAATAAAGAATCTAATTTTTTCCAACTATATGAATAAGAAAAGTTAAAATGGAAAAACAATCCAAATGAATCACCATGTTCATTGTAAAACATTAATAAAAGATGTTTGAACTTAAACTCAAAAACGTTATTTAAAAATCCGATTTAAAATTTTCGAAAAACCCNCCCCCCCCTCCTCACGAACTGCATGTTTAAAATGTTTTCCCAGTTACTTAAAGCCAATAGCTTTCTTTGCTAATTTATGTTTTGTTTGTACAAAGTACAACCTGCAAATTGTATGAATACATGTCTTTAAAGGTGAATATTTCCGTTTTTTACGTGAAAAATAAGCGTGAATTACAAAAACAGAAAAAACTATAAATTGTTATAAGGGAAACTTGATGATTTGCTAGAATCATTATTTTTTGTATTTTCATATTTATTCCAAACTTACAAGAATTACAGTGGAAACTGTACCAATGTGGAATCGGAAGACAACTGAAAGGCTTTTAATATTCACTGCATACAAAACTATGCAAATGTGCATTGTACACAGATCCATTTTATTAGATAAGTTAATTTTCAAACATTGAAATATAAAATTGCTGAAATGTCGTCTTTCTTTTTCATAGTTTCATGGCTATCTCTGCATTTGATTGATTCTTCTTGTATTCTCATAATGGCGCCCAAGTACTAATTAAAAATTGATTACAATATGAATGTTTAATGAAAGAGAAGATGTATAGAACTTTAGCTAGGAGGGTAATTTATTTTTAATTAAACAAATCATACAAAAAAATTAACTATTGTATTCATACACACTGGTTGATTTCCCCTTTCATTGTCTTCTTATTTCTAAAAATGATCAAACGTTTTTGAAAATTATAAATATTTTGTTTAAAATAATTAACAGAGGTTAGAGATATTCCAAACATCATTATTCCTAGAATTATGTTAGAGATATTCCCACATCATTATATAAATTTCTTAAAGTTAGATTCAAATATTATATGTGTAAAATCAGAACTCGTAGTCTTGAAGAAATATGAAGAAGAACAAAAATGTTTGTAATTTAAAAGGTGTGCCTGGAAAAATTTTCTTTTAGAACTTTTAAAATAAAAAATAGAGGACTTACGAAGTCACAATAATGTGCTAGTATTGTCGCATGAATTTGACCTCCCCCTTTCTGAGTTTACAATGAAGATCTAATAAAAACCCCGGTTAACGTTTCTGAACTAATCTTTTTTTCATGGCAATGAACCTGAATTTTTCAACCAGTATAGTTTATAAAATTGAAAATTTAATGCCTACAATCTAAAACAAAAATATGATATTTGGCAAATATAAAAGTAAGTCAGCCAATTCAACCCTTGCTTTGTTGTTTTTAAACCAAAATATAGAATTTCGTAGATTTTCCAATTTTATTGTTGAATTCCAAAATGCCTAATAAACCCAGGAGCAAATAAACAAACCTGCAGTCAAAGACAAAAAAATTCTGTCAAATGCTTTTTGTGAGTCCAAAATAGATTTTTAAATTAGAGCTTGAATATTTTTGAAATTGGCCATAATTGCCTTATTTAGATCCAACGGCAAACATTTTTTTTCCTTCCTTGTTTGGCCTGCATAAAGGTTGGACATTCGACAGAAAATACAGGGTTACCCACAATGGATGAGCTTCAGAGACGACTACTCTCCGATTTTCTGTTTTCTTGCATTTTTGGGTTTTGTATTTGTACGTGCACTAGTGTCTTTCTAAAACCTGATTAAAGCAGGCTTAATTTTAAAAGGTTATTTTTCCACAAGAGTAAATTAAAATATTATTTAATGTTTTGTGAACACCATGCACTGTTTAGTACATGCAATAGTCTCATTCACTCAGACTATATCAGTTACAAATCATTATTAAAAAGATTAGATTTATTCAGTATTTAACTTGTACACAGAGTGGTGGGCAATTCCCCCCCCCCCCTCCCCAAGGGAGAAGGTTAAATTCATGCGATATTGCTGACATGACTTTGTGTTAACATAGCTCCTCAAGTTTATGTTTATTTATAACCATGAGAAAATATAATGTACTAGCCTTATAGGGCGCTTCACGCCCATCTTCTAAATTAATTGTGAACTTGTTCTCTTTGTGTACATCGTAAAACAAAACAAAAATAGTTTGCGGATTTTCACAAAAAATTTCGTGGATTTTCAAAATTTTCAAAAATTTAATGAAGATCGAATTTTGAAGGAGACAAATATTTGAAATTTTGATCATTCATAAACCTTCCCTGGGGCTCCATGAGGTCCATCAAAAAAATTTTCCCGATCGGTTCAGCCGTTTTGACGTT